CCCCCTTGAGATCCTGAGACCATTACAACCAACTCCACATTTGCCTGAGTGACCTTCAGTGGGCCTCTTTCCTTGAATCCAAAAGAGCTCAGAAGGGAACTTTCAGCCCACTGAACTTGTGCTGTTGCCTGACACGTGATCCTGTGCCTTTGCACATAAAATATGTGTTCCCAGGAATGCTCAGTCTCCTTTTTCCTATATGGCAACTGCCTACTTATCCTTTAGGAAAACAAATGTCCTTTGATGAGCCTCCAGCTCCCTAGACCAGCGCCTCCTCTACATGCCTTCAGCACTTTGCTCATCCCTGGTTATCATAAGACCTCTCTTGCTATTTTGTAATTGTTTGTGTTTCTATGTCTATAGCTGGACTCTCACCCTCTTGGGGCCAGTGTCATATCCTACTCATGTTTTTACCTCCCCGGTCTGGAGGTGGGTAGCAGATTCTGTTGGTTCCCTCCTTATACTCCCTCACCTGGAGCTCACTCACCTGCAGACAGTCCCAGTGTACTCCCACGGACTTCCTGTGACTCTCTGCCTGAGTGTTTCAGGGATACCGGGAGCAGAAGAGAGTGAATACCCCAGGAGTGACCCTCAGTCAATGAAAGGTGGGAGTTGGTAGATGAATACTTCAGCTTCCTGCCCCTTGGGGTGTTCACTGAGTTCTATACAGTTCCTCAGAGTGTCCTTTGCAAAACCGACCCTCAGTAGCCTGTGGTGGCTTCTTCTCTGACTGATCTCATGTCCTCACTCCTTTACCATGTTTTCTAGAATCACCTCCTAAAAAAAACTACTTGCACCCTAATAAAAACATGTCTCAGGAATTGCTTTTAGATGAGCCCAACTAAAACAGGGAGATAAAGTGCACAGTGCCTGACAGATAATGAACAACTGAGACCATCAGCTCCTACCCCTCTTTCCATTGGCATAGCATATCAAGAGACACCCTGTACACCCCACCCTGTTTCACTTTCTTCTCCCCAGACAGGACCCAATGGCAAGCACACTCATTAGCACCCTCACCTCCTTGGTCGCTGGTCATTTAGAAGAGTCTACCCTGAGAGTTCCCAGACACTGACACAGACTTGGATTCTCTCCACTCCTGCTCTGGAAAGTTGAGCACTGTAGAAGCAAACTCTCCTATGATATTAGCTGGGGACCATTTCATATTTATCATTTTTTCAACCCTCAACAAACTTCAAAATCCTTTTACTTGCCCCCGATCATTTCCTTTAGCAATGATTATTCTCTGCTATGAATGACTAAGCCCACCTTTCACCAGGATGCTCCACCCCCTTCTTTGTTCTTCCCCCTGCCCTCTTTGTATCTGGAGTACTTGAGTGAGTGAAGTTAGCATGTCTTAGCACTTGCTAGAAGGGCTCAGGTTCTGATAAGGGAAAACAAACCACAATCAGGCTCCTTGGAATATCCAACTAGAGCAGAGATCCCCAGCCTTTATGGCACCAGGGACTAGTTCCGTGGAAGACAATTTTTCCACGGGCTGGTGGGAAGGTGGGGTGGGGGATGGTTTTGGGATGATTCAAGCACATTACATTTATTACACTCTTTATTTCTATTATTATTACACTGTAATATGTAATGAAATAATTATACAGCTCACCATAATGTAGAATCAGTGGGAGCCCTGAGCTTCTTTTCATGCAACTAGATGGTCCCATCTGGGGTGATGGGAGACAGCGACAGATCATCAGGCATTAGACTCTCATAAGGAGTGCATAACCTAGATCCCTCACATGCACAGTTCACAATAGAGTTCATGCTCCTATGAGAATCTAATGCCACCATTGATCTGACAGGAAGCAGAGCTCAGGCAGTAATGTGAGGGATAGGGAGTAGCTGTAAATACAGATGAAGCCTCTTTTGTTTGCTGCCTCTCACCTTCTGTTGTGTGGCCCAGTTCCTAACAGGCCATAAACTGGTAGGTGGCCCAGAGGTTAGGGATGCTTAGATAAGAGGTAGGAGATGAGCTTCAGACCCACCAAGTACAGTGCTGGGCACAGGTTAGTAAATAATTGTTACAGGGATGTCAACCTGTCAAAATGGTCTGGATTGGCCAGAGGAAGAGGGGACCATGGTGAGAGGGCAGCAAAAGAACAACACTTAGATAAGTACTATTACTAGCTCCATTTTACAGATGAGAAAACTGAGCAATTGACAGGTTAAGTAACTTGTCCTGGGTCACACAGATGGTAAATGGTATAGTCAGGATTTGAACTCAGACAGTCTAGCTCTGAAGCCTGAGAATGTAACTACTATATCATACTGTATCTACTGACTTTTGAATACAGAATTGTATTAGTCCGTTTATATGCTGCTGATAAAGGCATATCCAAGACTGGGAAGAAAAAGAGATTTAATTGGACTTACAGTTCCACATGGCTGGGGAAGGCTCAGAATTATGATGCGAGACAAAAGGCACTTCTTACATGGCTGCAGTGAGAGAAATATGAGGAAGAAGAAAACGCGGAAACCTTGATAAACCCATCAGATCCCATGAGACTCATTCACTATCATGAGAATAGCATGGGAAAGATTGGCTCCCATAATTCAATTACCTCCCCTGGGTCCCTCCCACAACACTTGGGAATTCTGGGAGATACAATTCAAGTTGAGATTTGAGTGGGGGCACAGCCAAATCATACCAAGAATTATTGATATTCCAATTATTGATAAATCATTGGAAAATACAATCCATCATCTGCCTCCCAAGCCTGGCATGCTTATAATACATATCAGATATACAAATAATACATATCAAACAATTCAGATAAAAAAATACTGTAAGTATAATCTGCTGTGCATTATTACATAGCCATTATTAGTGGATAGGAAACTAAAATGAGTGTGCATTTTTCTCTCAGTTGTTCTGTGATGTCAATCATGGCTAAAGTGAGTCCATGTGATACAGTGAACATAGTGGTAAACTGAGGCACCCCACAACATGGCTAACTACATGGCAGCCATACCTCAATTTGCACATCTTAAGAACAGAGGGCTGGAGGAGACAATGTCTTAGGTCCCTTGCAATGTTAAGGTTTTGTTTTTCCATTTTGTATTGACAGGAAAAACTTGACTTCAAACCTGTCCAGCCCACACTAGAAATTCTACTGATGCAGGTGACTGGGGTCAGGGAGGGAGCCTGTATGAGGACTGGTACATAACATCTGTTCTCCTTGGAAAATCAGCAGCAGCATTTTCATAACTGAAGAATCTCTGTGCCAACTATGTCAACCCTTTCAGATTTGCAAACTGCACTTCGAAGTTACAAGAGCTAGCAGATGGCTCTAATTTCAGAGTACCCTTGACTGCTAAAAAGAAGGCACTGATGAGGATTCATCTCAGGCCAGGATTTGGGGCTGCTACATATAGAAGGGATTAGCCCTTTGCTGGGAGGATCACCAGCACATACTCTCTGTGTGGCCCAGTCCAACTTCTGTCCTGTGAGCTATGCACTGTTCTACGACCTAATGCCCAGGTAAACCCCACATTTTAAAATGCAAAGGAATAACCACTGCATGGTAAACCTAGTGGGAAGGAAGACACACCACAGGATCAGATGTGCATCCACAGGAGCAATTTTTACTGAATTGACCAAGAAGGTAAGAGCATCTCTGACTTTGGTCACCTTAGAATAAGAATGGTATTGTTCTACCTGCTCCTGATTAAGCCTCCAGGGAGCTTAGGAAACACAGTCTCGAAAAGATTGCCTCAAAAATGTAGACATATTCTACTGAGGAGGAAAAAATGTGAATGCAGATATTGATCACATCTTGTGTTACCCCTTCTTTCCAAACTTATCTCTAAAGGCAGAGAGGATGGAGGCTGTCTGGAGGCTCCTTCTGGCATATTTAACTCCCTCCTGTCCCCCTCCTACTTGCATATATGGACTTCCGCCCTTAGCCACAAGCTTCTCTGCCTGAGGTGCCCATTCTCAAATGCAGGCCATGCAGGCCAGAAATCTCTCCTCCCATCTCTTTACACATCCCTTTGAGTCTCATGTGTGGTAGGTGCTCAATAAGTGTTTGCTGAATTGATCCATGTGCACACGAGTGTGTCTGGGGAATAACTTAATTCTCAGGGTTCCCCTGTATATATCAAACCCCATTTTCCACTGAGAGAGACTAAGGCACCAAAGCTCCGCATCACACAGCTCATGGAGCCACTGAGGCTCCTCTCTCTCACCTGGTCTGATGCTTTCAGGCGGGGCATGGTGGCTCATGACTGTAATCCCAGAACTTTGGGAGGCCGAGGTGGGCAGATCAATTGAGCCTGGGAGTTCAACAGCAGCCTGGGCAACATGGCAAAACCCTGTCTCCACCAAAAATACAAAAATTTAGCTAGGCGTGGCGGTGCACACCTGTGGTCCCAGCTACTCCGGAGGCTGAGGTGGGAGGACCCCTTGAGCTCAGGAAGTGGAGGCTGCAGTGAGCAAATATCCCGCCATTGCACTTCAGCCTTGGTGACAGAGTAAGACCCTGTCTCAAACAAAACAAAACGAAAACCCAGAAAGTTTTCTTCCGAAAGGGGTGGACTGGGGAGGCCGGGCTTGGGGTCAGTCTGCGGATATCAGCTTGCTTTGCAATGGGGCGAACTGAGCCATCTATTTGCCATCATTTACCCGAGATGTGGTCGTCCCAAATAAGCAGCTCTCGGTAAGTTTCCGTTTTGAAACTTCTCCGACCCTCCTATCCCGGGCTGACTCCGGGTGCCACAGCCTAGTGGATCAAGCCCTGTCCCCGGTCCCTCCAACCCCGCAGAAGCCAGGAGGCTGCCGGGCCGCGGGAGTGGGGTGCTGGGCCCAGACAAGAGGCTGCAGGACACCACCCTCGCCCCATGCTCTGGACTCTCGACACACGAACCCCCACAAACGCGGCCGCCCTCGCCCGCCCGCTTGGCCGCTAGCTTCGCCGCTTCTTCTCGCTCGACCACCCGGCCCTTCTCCCCAGCGTACCGAACCAGTCCCCGGCCCTGAGGAGACTCACCGCGCCACTCCAGGAGCCGCTCCGGCGAGAGCGCCTCCGCCACGCCCTCGGCGCAGCCCCGCGGTGCCCCCAGCAACAGCAGCAGCGGCAGCAGCAGCCACGGCAGCATCGCTAACCACTGGGCTCGCCTGGCGGCCCAGGTCCCGGGAGCCCAGAGCCGCGCCCCAAACACCCGGCCGTGCGGCGCGGAGGCGGACCCGCGGCCTCCCCCGAGCCCCACCCTTCCCTGGACCCCGCCGCCCCCTGGCCCTGGAGACCCGCTCCGCCACCCCTGCCGCCACAGTGAACTGACACTCGGGGCTCTGGGCTGGGACGCGGGGAAGTCGCGGAGGTTTTCCTCGCCCTGCCCTCTGCGGCTTGGGGAAGGCGGAGGAGGAGGGGGTGGGCCATCTGCCCTTCCCAGAAATTCCTGCGTGTGGGGTGAGGACGGGAGCTGGGAGGCTGCCCGGGACGCACTCTCCGCTCCCCCCGCTCGCAGTCCCGCTCCCTCCCTTCTGGGGGAGGCCGCAGAGGAGTTGGGGGTGAGCGATTTGAGAATCTCCAGGACGCGGAGCCTGACATCCGGGTTCGCAAACTACCCAGATTCTGGTAAACGCCGCGGGTTTGCAGCCGGCAGCTTAGAGCGAACCGAGCTGCTCCGCAACCCAGGCGCTTTGGGAGCGCCCTGTACTTCTCTGAAATGTGGAGCGCTGGAGACCTCTGAGGGCCCACGCCTTGGTCTCCACATTCCTTGCCCTAGAGTAACCCAAAGATTCTTCTATTGTTCAGCTCCTTCGGTTTTGAGGTAACCTCCTGTTTCCATCTCCTTTGATCCCCCAAGCCCCGCAAAGTAGCGGGGGTCCCTATTATCCCATTTTACAGCTGAGAAACCCTGCCCAGGAAATCGAAGTGCTTTGCTCCTTAACCCAGCAAAAGTTAGTCTCTAGTAAGTAGGACAGCCCGGGCTAGAATGTGATCCTTCTAACTGTCCTTCAAATAACCAGCAGAATGCTGGAAGCGTTTAATATTCTGAGAACAGGCTCATATAAGATCTTTCCTCAGCGGGACCTTGAAACGTAAAACGGGACCTTGAGTCATCAAAACATAAGTGGGTGGGGGGAGAGCAGAAAGCAGAGCCTGGAAGGAGATGCCCATCAGGGAGCAGGATTGAGGGTCAGAGCCAAATGGGGAAGAAGGGGAAGTGGTTGCCTTGGCCACTGCCTTAACAAAAGGTGCTCAGTGCTGCAGGAACCTCAGAGAGCCTCAGAACTGTCTGTCCGAGGACAAAAGGGGAAAGCGTTTATCCATGGACGTTTGTCCTTCTCTGTTGATAAGGGAGATCCTAGGGTTATTAACTCCTCTGCACTCTTCTACAGCAGTGGTGAGTTTCAGGCATGGTCCCACACTTTGCCTCTGAGAAGCCCTGGGGCTGGAAGCTGCAGGTACACAGCATGGCAAAAGGTGAGGCACTGTCAGGTTGTTTTTCAGGGGGGTGGGGACCAAGGAGACAGCTAGGGGAAACAGGCTGTAGAGGAGGCTGGAGTAAGAGGTGGGTTGGGAGGATATGAGAGGTTGTAGTGTGTGTAGAGTCTATATATCATTACACGTAGAATTCAGCATTCCTGCTTGAAAACATGCAGAAAAGAGATGCTTTCACTCTGGTAGATTACACAGACTTCAGCCACAAACTATGTATCCAGCTCTCCTAAGGCCTCAGAACTACACTGCTATGAGAATATCCCCACAGTATTATAATAGAAGACCTGGCCCTGCCCGAGCATGTGTTGCAGCAGGCAAGTGCAATGCATGTGGCATAATTAGGTCATAAAATGGGACACTGATTCTTATCTCTGGTGAAGTCCAAGGTAATGACAGTAAAGGTGAAAAAGACTAGAAGGAGTTGGACTGGTCATAGAGGCTTAAATGTGCTCAGATAATGTAGTGGGTATTGGGAGGAAGTGGCTGTTGTAGGATGGGAAGAAATTGTGAAAAAAAAAATATTATACAAAGGTTAGAGTGAGAACTGCATGTATGGGAGAGAGTGAGGCACGTCTGGCTGAAATAAAGGGCAGCCACTGGGGCACCCTGACAAATGAGGACAGTTGCTGGGACATTGGGCTACCTCCCACTGCCTGTGGACCAGGGTGAGTTGTTCACATGCTATGGGCCTGTTTTAGTCTCTGTAATGAGGTGGGGAAAACCGCCTTTGATCCATAGCAGATACTATTCTGAAGTAGCAGAGCTGGGACTGTAAGTAGGATAAAAAGGGAGAAACAAACCTTATTTCATCTTCAGAGCAATTAGTATAATGAAGAGAGGTGATGACAGTTTCCTGGCCTACCAACCCCATATTGCCTATTCAACCATTAGAACACTCAGAAAAGAGCTACTTTTTAAAAAAGAAATCTCTTCCTGAAACACTGCAGCTTTGAAATGGAAATCTGTGGTAAAGAGCTTTTCAGCCTTCAAGAAAACGACCACCACCCATATTCTGGACTCATGTGTGTTTCAGGTTCACGAGGCAGTGTAGGGTAATGATTAAAAGAGGCAGTTCTGCTACTTACCAGCACACCAATTAGTTTCCCCTAGCCTCAGTTTCCTTCTATGTAAAATGGAGATAATAATATTTGCTTCATTGTGTGGTTGCATTAAATGAGGTAATGTATGCAGAGTGCTTCGCACAGAGTCTGACGCACTGTAAAGTTCACCTCTGGGAGCTGTGGGTGTATGGGGAGGGAGTGAGGAGCAGAGAGCAAGAGCAAAGCTCAGAAGCCATGCTGCAGAGTGGTGTGCTATTGGTAATTATGGCTCCAGACTGGGGAGTACAAAGGAGCACAAGCAGCTGGGGAGCGTGGAGGGCAGGGTTTGGTGCCGGCTGGCATTTGTGCAGCTTCCCATTGCTTCCCTTCTCCTTTGGAGTTGAAATTCATTATTTATCTCTCACCTGAATGTGAATTTCAGGAACTTAGTCATCTCTCAGTCTCTGTTGAATGAACAAAGGAATGAAAGAAGGAAGGAATGAGGTTGAAAGAAATACAGTAAGCCCTCACTTAACATCATCTATAGGTTCTTAGAAACTATGATTTTAAGCAAAACAACGTATAACAAAACCAATTTTCTTTTTCTCATCAATGTAATAATGAAATCACATTGAAGGAAATAATGTTATTTGAGGACCTGCTGTATGTCGTTTCACTTAAAATTGCAGTTTCCAAGAACCTGTCAGTGACATTAAGTGAAGACTAACTGTATAGTGTATGGGGTCATTTAAAACTTGAGAAAAGTATTAAAGCTTAGAATTGTATTGACAGTGAAAAAAGTGGGATTTAAAATTCAATGTGTAGGTTGTGGTTTGGGTCAAAATTAACAAAATTTTTTGAGCACTGTATGAATTAGTGTATCAGCAAGAAAGGGTGAGGTCCTGATTTGTTGAACATTTACCCAAGGGACTGTAGACCCTGAAAATTTGAGACAGGCCTCAGTTAATTTAGTTTATTTTGCCAAAGTTGAGGACACACATCTGTGACACAGCCTCAGGAGGTCCTGACAACATGTGCCCAAGGTGGTCAGAGCACAGTTTGGGTTTATACAGTTTAGGGAGACATGAGACATCAGTCAACATATGTACGATGAACATTCGTTTGGTCTGGAAAGGTGGAACAACTTGAAGTGAAGAGGGTGGCTTCCACGTCTTAGGTAGATAAGAGACAAATGGTTGTATTCTTTCGAGTTTCTGTTTAGCCTCTCCAAAGGAGGCAATTAGATATGTATTATCTTGGTGAGCAGAGAGGTGACTTTGAACAGAATGGGAGGCAGGTTTGCTCTAAACATTTCCCATTTGAGTTTTTCCCTTTGGCTTAGTGATTTTGGGGGCCCAAGATATTTTTCTGTCACATTCCATGCCTTTTCTTTTAAAAATCTCTTAGAGGCCAGGCGTGGAGGCTCACACCTGTAATCTCAGCACTGTGGGAGCTTGGGGTGGGCAGATCACCTGAAGTCAGGAGTTTAAGATCAGCCTAGCTAACATGGTGAAACCTCATCTCTACTAAAAATAAAAAAATTAGCTGAGTGTGGCGGTGCATGCCTGTAATCCTAGTTACTCAGGAAGTCAAGGCAAATAATCACTTGAACCTGAGAGGCAGAGATTGCAGTAAGCCGAGATCATGCCACTGCACTCCAGCCTGCATGATAGAATAAGGCTCTGTCTCAAAAAAAAAAAAAAAATTTTGGAGAAAATTAGTCTCTGGTCCCAGTTTTGTCTTTTTATCTGATGTTTCATAGCTAGGATGGTTTATTCCTAGATAGGTATGTTCCGAGTTATTAAGAAAGCTCATTTTTAGAAGGTTGTGAAGTCTGATGTCCTATGAAGCGAAAATAGGAGGAGGAAAGGAGAACAACAGCAATAAACAAAAGAACCGTTTTGGAAAATTGATGTGGGCCACATTACTCTGAAGTCCATACATCAGCAGGCAGGTATGAAAGTGGCTTATGTATGTAAATAGGTTGCTGTTATTTTCTTCTGAAGTTTAAGTTGTCTAGCTTCAGTTTGCAGAGCTTTACGAAAACACATCTTAGTTTTCAGTGACTCCAAATTAGGAAAAATGGGGGGGGAAAAGGAAAAAAATTGAAAATATTATTTTGAAAACTTGTAGCCAAAAAGAATTAGAATTCAGATTCTAGGCAAGACTAGAATCTAACAACAGGCATACTATAGTTTTTAAAACACAATTTTTCTTTCTCCAGTTTCTCATTTTTAAAGACAAATCATGGTAGGACTGATTTGCTTTATTATACTTGTTCTAATTATTTGTATACAGTGCAACAATTATTTTTACATAGGCTTTTAAATTGTCTTTTAAGGAATCTCAGATAAGACGTTTTTAAAGCTGAGCCCATTCATGAATTAATACCTGTGAGTTGGGTGATCCTTTCCTCTTGAGCTTCCAAGATAAACTTGGGGCTCATGGGCCTTTTACTTACCATAGGTCAGGAACCCTGTACAAAGAAGATATGAGACCAGTTTCCCCAAGCGCATTTATTGGCTCCATAAGTCAAGTTTGATTCCTTAAAGGAAAGCACACCATTAAAGACTTGGTAAAATAACCAGTTTCTCTGATTGTGTCCTGTTGAAAAATGAAAACAGATTCTTATTGCACTTATGCAAATAACTGTATTGCCATAATTAAGAATACTCACAAATAGTTTTCAACTTCAAGAGAAATCAGGTAAAGAGAAAAAAATATGCTCCAAATTTTGTTCATAAATTGTTAAAGCTGTTAATAGCTCAAAAGAAAAGTTTTCTTGACTCTGAAAAAAATA